GTTGTTTTTTGGTCAGTGTCTCTTCTCTAATCCTGTCCCCTTTTCATCTACTCCACCTGCCTGTAGTCTGTAGCCCTGCCCTCTCATTAATCCCAAGCATGTCCTGTTTCCTCTCAGTATATTCATAGCCCTGGGTTTGCTCAGTCATTTTGTCTTGCATTGCATACGTTACCCTATTGCTGTTGCCTGTTTTCACTGGTCTTATGGTTAGGATGCTACTCAGTTTCTGGAATCTGGTTTAAATAAAAGCAACCCCCCTGCATCCAGTCTCACCGTCTTTTATTTTTTTGCAGTGTACAAAAAATCATATGTTAGCAAGTGAAATCCTATTAAAGATTAAAGATGTTATCACTTGGCAAGATATAATTTTTCTGGTCAGGAGGCCTGTCGGATGATCATGGTGCTGGATTTCTGTGCTTTATTCTGTAGGAATAAAGAATAACGTGAACAACCGCCTCTGAGAAATATTAAGGTTTGTATGTGTGAAAATAGTGCATGTGAACAGATCACAAAACACGCGTCCAGCCATCATGTCAATGATTTAACTGTCTTATACGCTCACACTTTTGATTTATGATAGGTTTATTTGGTAATGTGGGTTTCCAGACTGCTTGATCCAGATTTTGCACATCTTCTCTTGTATCTTTAGTTTATGAAATGGGGGGGAAATATGATTCCTTTCTTTAGACTCATATATATCAGATATCTGATACAGAACTGTACAAATGGAAAGTGTGTTCATGGGTCTAAGTCAGTGGTCGGCAACATGCGGCTCTTTCGCTGTCCTGTTGCAGCTCCACAGTAGAATTATATTTTTAGGTAAAAACAAAATAATCTTCCTTTGCAGTAAAATAAAGCCTTGCTGATCTTTTTTTAACACAGTTTTAACAATAAATGGTCTTAAATGCTGGAGTTAATGTCCACCTGCTAATTCACCCTTTATCCCTGAAGGTTTGCGCACAGACAGCTGGTCACATAGCAGTGCAGCCAACAATCTCGCCCCGCTAGTAGTTAAATAAAAAGGCAAAGAGAAAGATTTAAGACGAACATGATAATTTGGAGATGAATGGACTTATTTGCATTTAGAATCACTCCAGCTGGTCTTGATATGTTTAATCTGCAACAAGAAACTAAAGTCAGTTTCTCCTTTGGCAGCTTCTTGTTCGAAGCTTGGAACAAGAAGCTGGCAAATGAGAAGCTGACTTCAGCCTTGTAAAAATCAAACTTTGACAGACGTTTTACAAAAAACTGTTCTACTTTTGTGGAAATGTTTCCTGCCAGAGACGCGAGAAAAGCGACTATAGCTGAGCTATAACTTAAAGCAGGACAAAGTAAGTCTGCACTTTCATTTATTGTGTATTTTTTTAGCTTGTACTAGTACATTAGCACATACTGAGACATGTTACTGCCAAAATGAACATTTTCTCTGCCTACATAACTTTTTAAAAACAGCTGAAAAAATATTTCTAGCATCACTTGTACAATTTCATCCATCAAAAACCTTTTCTCCCTCACACTTTTCTCCACTACTCAATAAAAAAAAACAATGTATGTAAGCAACGCTTAGCATGTTACACCAGCTTTGATGAGCAGAGGTTTGCTTTAATCGTTTTTAGGAAGAAATTGCTAATTGGCAGATATTAATTTTATTAGAAAGCTTTGGAAGAGGAGGCCTTAGAATTACTATATACTAGATATACTTATCTACTGAGATAAATTGGGCAGTCTTTATGACACATCTATTTGAATAAACTGAGTGGTTTTAGTAAATTTATAATAATGATATGGTAATAATGATGTGTGCTTTTTTAACAGTATAAGTACTGGGTAAGCTTTTACACTGTTCTTCAGATAAACTGGGAGGTTTTAGTAACAATAATAATATTAGATACAAAGTGTACTTTTTAAAAGTGTAAGATTTGAGTAAGCCACAAACAGTAGGTGACTTTAAATCTAACTGAACTTTATTCAGATAAATCAGGTGGTTTTTGGAAAATTCTAATAACGAGTGTGCTGTATTTTTCACCAGACCTTTTTATTTTGACAGCTAGTTGCGCAGTGTGAATTCATTGGCTCATCAGGGAGTCAAGTTGAATCTCAAATGGTTCTCTACTCCCTCCACCATTAAATTTTACGATAAAGACTCCGACACACAAACAGCGTATAGCATGTGCACAACAATGCACACATGTCAGTAACGTGTGCACAATTCCCTACTGGACATATCGTGCACTGTTTGTAGAAGCCAAAGTTTCATAACGCACGTAGTGCACTACACAGGGGGTAGGCAGTGATTCACTGGATTCAGCCAGTGAACGTGAGGTGAATCGCCCATAGAAGCCGCGTTTGTTTCATACAGGCACGTCCACGGCTCCGTCATCTTGGAGCGGTCATTACCATTTTGTACAACAACAGAGCGACGGTTTAAGAAGGTGACGTCCGCAATGAAACTACAATAAACATAGCACTAAGGAGGTCGGGTCGGCCAGAGACGTTATAAAGTAAGAGGTCAGTGTCTGAAAAATGAACGGGAAAGCTCGTAACACTCAACCCAGCGTCTGCGGAGAAAGCCCCGCCTTTCGGGAATAACAGCCAATCAGCTCGATGGTTACGCCGCTGGATCTGCGCAATCGCAGTAGCCAGAACAACCCGAAAAAAATAAAAACAAAAATTCTGCGTTATTGAGCCAAACGTTACAAAGTATGTATGAGGATTTTTTTTTACGTTTTATCAGTGATTTCAAATATGTTTCTGAAATAGTAATTTGACCAATTTAGGTCTTTTCTCAAAGAGATAGGAGGCGGGGGGCCGTATTACAGAAACTTCTTATCTTTTTGTCTTAATTTAAGATAAGTCAAGATAAGATTTTTCACAAATTCGTATTACAGAATCTTATCTTGATTTAAGAATCTTATCTTACAGCATCTTTTCTTATCTCAGGTTAGGAAATCTTAATTTCCTTCAACTGTCGTGTCTGTTGCCTAGCAACCGACCATACACGCACAGCTGAAACACAAACACGTAATGAAGTTGGTTGGTCAGACAGCTAACGTTAGCTACCCTTACTGATGTAAAGAAGGTCAAATAAAACTAAAGCGTGACAAACTGAAAGTTAAGATTATGAACTTAGGAACTGTTGTTCTGTAATGGCTTCTATCCTAAATTCAGTCCTAACTAAAGTTGTCATGGTGACTAAGCATATAAGATAAGATTTCAGACTTAAGAAGTTTCTGTAATATGGCCCCCGGTCTTGCATGGCTGGAAATAACTGCCCAGTGGCGTTGCAAAGATGGTCGCCTAGTGAGCAGAATTTCCTACGTGGACTTTGAGTAGGCTTATATAATAGGGAGAACGGAGCGATTAACATTTATGTTTGTGCTATAGTCATGTATAAAGATGCTGATGTGTTTGATGAAGAGAGCACCTACTGTTGTAATTTTCTCTATTCGTTTCATATGCCAGGCTTCCTGCTCTCATTTGTGAAACAGGGAAAAAAGCATGCTTGCAATCCGTGCAACTTAGCTCAATCTTTAATTTATTAGCACTCCCTACATACATATAATCGTCTCCTTGGCACTGTCAGATTGAACTCTGGACTTAAAATTGCCTGTTTTTGCATTAATGACAAAGAGAAAACATGTCACTTTTATTTAGATCATAAACATGTTTTATATTTCCTCACGGACCGTGCCTCCACCTATAAACATCAGATAAATACACAAATGTAAATCTGAATACCACTTCTCTAGGTCACGTCTCTCAGCTTCCTTATTTAAATTCTGACAGTATGGCCAGCTGTTGGAAGCACTTTACAAATATAACACCATCTAATCATCAACATGCAGAACTGTCTGACCATTATAACAAAACAAATTTGGTGAAAATTGTTTGAGTATTAAGCAAATTACCGGCGATTTAATAAAGCAAACCCATCATATCTCCATACACGTGGATTTGTTTACAAGCAAATCTTGACTGCCCCAATATGACAGATGCCAAAATGCCTCGAATGTGTAGAGAGGAATCAAACGCTAGAGGGCAATAATATGGAGCATTTGAGCAAAATCATAGTTTGTAAATGCTTAAACATTTTCTATATAGAAGAATACACCGAACACAGTACAGCACAAAACATTTTAACACTGCCTTTATATTTTTGAGCGCTTTTTAACTCCAGTTATAGCAGGGTTTCTCAACCTGTGGGCCGCGGACCACCAGTGGGCTGTGAAGCATCCTCTAGTGGTTTGCAGGCCTGTACTCAGGAGAAGTCATAAATTAAGTCATGAATACATAAGTAGAAAAAAGATGAACTTACACCTAAATATTAAAATTCAAGGAATCAAACCTTTCCAAATTATGACTAATATAAATATTAACAGAGACGTACAAATAAATCACATCTACATCTGCATCAGGGGGCCTTTTGTCGCCTCTACAAACATGTTTTTTAACCTATAAAGTTTTTTTAACATAACTGCAAATTTTGGTTTCTGTGATTGAACTGAAATAGACAATCTGATCTTTTTCAGGCCCTCATTCACAGGTTTTCAGTGTCAGCAAACTAAGAAAAAAAAACTATTAAAAACATTGATTTTTATTTTTCTGTGAGCTGCTTATAGTTATAAACAGGTGGGCTTTGGGGTGGAAAGGGTTGAGAACTTTAAACTGCTGCATCATGTTAACTCAGCTCATCAGCTCACCAACCAATCAGCACTCAGTAGCAGTGATGCTGACCAATCAGCACTCGGTAGCAGTAATGCTAGCGTCCTACTGCCTAAAACCTGTTTACTGTAGAAAAAGGGAAACATACAGGTCGGTTTTCCTTGCTTTATTATTGAAAAACATCCTTATACTTTTTGAAATTAAATGAAGGTTTTGGACAGCGACTGAGAAACTATTTAAACTTTGATTTTAGCCATTTAACTCTATTCACTCCCATTCATGTAGGACTCTCTCGCGGGTGCCCTCTGGCGGTTGTCGTGGTTTTGGTATAATGGGAGGAGGAGGAAGTGATCAAGCTCTGATATCTGATCTCTGATATCACCAGGACTGAGAACAACAGACAGCAGCATCTATGTTTGTATATATCTGTGGTGAAAAGGACCAGACTCTCTCTCTTGTTTGTGAGACTCCAAAAACACTCTAACAGCTTAGAAGGAGCTGGTGCACTAAAGAAACAACCTTTATACTAAAATCAAGCAGAGCGCAGAACTAGAACAGATACCATGCTGGACACTTTCATTCTTGCTTGGATTTTCTTTTGTCTTCTCTTCCTCTTCGTCAGGATCCAGAGACCCAAGAACTTTCCTCCTGGACCCCGGCCTGTGCCCCTATTCGGGAATCTGTTTGAGCTGACCATTGACAATCCACTGAAAGACTTTGAGAGGGTAGAGTACTGCGCTCTTTTAATGCTGACCTAATCAGCACAAACATCTATAGAACTCTTATGTAGACATGATGCTCACAAAAATGAAAAGAAAGACCAACTTGCATATTTTAATTTACATTTTCTTGTTAATAAACATTACGATGAAAAACTGCTACAAAAATAGCTTTACAGAAATATGATTGTGGTTTATATGTTAATATGTGATATGCAAATGCAAATCTCTGGAAAACAGTTCTCTCAATATGTTAAGGATCAGTGTACACCCCACTTAATTCTGCAAATGGGTTGTATTAGTTTTTACTGGGTCAGAGTTTCTGTTTACTCATCTAAAATATGGTTACTTTATTTAAGAGGGTTTTTTTGTACATTTTTAAATAATTAACTGGTTACTTTTTCTGCTTGCTGTATTGTATGTCTTTAGTTGGCTCAGCGCTATGGGAACGTTTACAGCCTCTACTATGGAGGAAGACCAGCAGTGGTTCTTAATGGTTTCAAGGCTATGAAGGAAGCTCTGGTGATCAAGGCTGCAGACTTTTCAGGACGTCCACAAAACGTCCTAATGAGCCATCTAACGCAAGGAAATGGTGAAGTCCATAAACAGTTATAACTATTTGAGTCATCAGACTAAGATCAAATTCCTGTGTACAAATTGTGGCTAATCAGTATTTCTCTTATACTAAAATCATGGTGTATTTTACTCATACAAACACAGCAGCTGTCAGGTGAAGAAAAGCAAAGCTTCTCCACTTTGAAATGAGTTACTGATGTGAGTTTAATGTGTCAGGGGTCGTATTTCTTGACTATGGTCCTGCCTGGAAGGAGCATCGGCGCTTTTTCCCTCATGACCCTGAGGAACTTTGGCATGGGGAAGCGGTCTATGGAGGACAGGATCCTGGGAGAGACTGAACACATTGTTGCACATTTGGAAAAAAGTGCTGGTATAATTATTATTATTATTATTATTATTATTATGCTGTACAATACTTCAAAAACAAGAAAGCAAAACGATTCAGTGATTTGTTACCACATTACAGATAATTAATGAACTTACATTGTTTTTTATAGGAGACTCCATCGATCCTGAAACTTTGTTTCATAAAGCTGCATCAAATATCATGTACCTGGTTTTATATGGCACTCGCCTTGACTACGAGGACAAAACCCTCCAAGAATATTTTGACCACTATGATGAACTTGCAAAGGTCACCAACGGACCCTGGGGAACGGTGTGACGTTTTACTATTAACACAAACATACATGTTTCTGGCTTCAAGCTTTGAGGCAAATTTTTACATGAACTTGATTGTTTATTTTAAAAAAAAGTTTCTTGAAAAATATCTTTGTTCTTAATTAAATTAATCTCACATTGAAAATATTAGAGAATTTTACAACAGCTTTTCTTAACAAAACCGTGTGTCAATTTTGGGCACCCCTAGATATTTCAGGGACTCTTAAGAGCTCATCCATGACGACCGGTTTCACTGGGGTATAAATAATGGATTTTTTTGACTAAATTTACATCAAACTTTAGTTAAAACTTTCTCATTTTCTTCTGTTTGAAATTAAGCTTAGTAACCAGAAAGACATTTTTACCAAGAGAGCCAATAATTATGGAAATGACTGTACATACTGTACTGACAGCATGTTGCAATAACTTTGGAAAATGGGTTTTAATTGAAAGAAATAAATGTCTAATGATGAATGTCTTTGTCCCATAGATATATGATATGGTTCCTATTGTGAGAGCCCTGCCCCTTCCCTTTAAGAAAGCCTTTGCACATTTTGAGGCAATCAAAGCCATGATAGCAAGCATGGTGAGAAAACACAAGACATCCAGAATCCCAGGAGAGCCAGAAAACTTGGTCGACTGCTATCTGGATGAACTTGATAAGGTGTGTGAATGTGAAGAATATTTGTCTGGTTTTATTGAAGAGAACATCTTTAAACACAATGTTTGTATAGGCCACTTTATCTGATGAGGCTTTCTGTTCATCAGGGAGCAAATAATGGATCCTACTTTAATGATGCAGATCTTGTGAGAACCATCATGGACCTGCATGGTGGTGGGACAGAAACCACCTCCAACACCCTCCTAACAGCGTTCCTCTACCTTATGACCAAACCTGGCATTCAGGGTTTGACCTATGAAAATGTCCATTGCACTTCACTTGATTTGTTGATAGACCTCACGAGACAGTAATGATCCCAGACGTCTCTCTCATCTTTCTAGAGAGATGTCAGAAGGAGATTGACGAGGTTCTGGAGGGTAAAGCTCACGCGTCCTTTGAGGACAGACACAAGATGCCTTACACACATGCTGTGATCCATGAATCTCAGCGCATCGCCAGTTCCTTCCCTCTCAGTGTTCCCCACTGCACCACAAGAGACACTGAACTGATGGGCTACAGCATCCCAAAGGTGGAGATTTCTCCTTCTTTCCACTTTCTTTTATGTAATTTAAGCCCCAAACATTCTTTTCTCTAAGTTTCTTCATTCATTGTCGTTCTCTGTGATCCAGGGTACTCTAATCATCCCAAACCTCCTGTCAGTGCTGAGGGAGGAAGGCCAGTGGAAGTTTCCTCATGAGTTCACTCCAGCTAACTTCCTGAATGAGCAGGGACAGTTCGAGAAGCATGAGGCCTTCCTGCCCTTTTCTGCTGGTGAGAGATCTAAACAGTGCATATGAACAGAGTGAACAAATCCTGGAAACCTGCGTCTCCATCAAAGCTTAGTCTGCTTTGAAAATTTGCTTTCCGTCCAGGATGAGCTTTTAGACCAGCCCTGTGATGAACTAACAGAGAATACTATGTGCTTTGCATGTATTTGTAGGGCCTCGTGTGTGTCTTGGTGAAGGTCTGGCTCGAATGGAGCTCTTCCTCATCTTGGTCACTCTGCTGCGCCGGTTCCAGTTCTTCTGGCCTGAAGATGCAGGAGAACCAGACTATACTCCTGTATTTGGAGTCAGTCTCAAACCCAAACCGTACAGGATGGGCATCAGACTGAGATGAGCAGCTAGAGGAATGTGGAAACTGCCAGCTATTTCATTCTAATATAAGGCTGAATCTAAAATATGGCAGAAGTGCAGTTTAGGAACCTTTGTAATGACAATGACAAAATTATGGTAGAATAGAAAAAAATAATATAGGTGTGAATCAGTTGCATTAAAAATTATAAAGAGACATAATAATTAATGGACTTTAATATTAGAGTAATAATTAATTAATAGCAATGTATAAAATCCACTTCACTAATAGTTTAATCAAACAGCATTGCAAGTATACCTTTACCACACCACTAAAGACGTTTTTTGGAGTTTACCTGATGTGATCAAACCCCAAAAATCTAAGTGTGGGGATTACAACCTGAGAAATGTAGTTATTGGAGAATATTCTCCATACTGGTGACAGCTGTTTTGTAGCTCAGTCATTCTAAATGAAGCATTATGTATTACTGTAGGTAGCAAAATGTAGCAAAATTAGCTGCTTGGCTAAGACCTACTACACACTGTCATGGAAAAGTGTTTTAGCTTCAAATCTACAATTTTTTTGGTATTCAGTTTAAGGAAGTAAAATTATATAGTACTAGTGATTAGTACTACTGTATTATATTTCAGCATATAACCATATAGTGTATAGCATATAGCAAGTCATTTCTTAATAGCGAGAGGTCATTTCTACTGTTATGAATTAAAATTGATCATGTGCTACTTGTCATGAGTAAAAAGAGACTCAGAAATTCTAATAATTCAGTGTTTAAATTGAAATGTTACACATAAAAGTAAAACTTTCTAGTCTTACATCTAATAATTGAATTTGCATATATGGCATTAATACATTTGTCACTGATAAGAAATAAATTCTTAACATACAATAGTTACAATTTCAACATGACAGTTGAATTAACACATTAAAATGTAATTCCTATTTCTAAAGTTGTTCCTCCCAGTAAAGTAAAATGGGAAATTCCACAAATTCTTCCCAGTAAGAAATGAAATCTCACATGCATCTTAACTGTCAGGTTGAGAACCACTGCTCTTCTCTCTCAGCATGTGAATGAATAATGATTTCTTTTATGTAACAGTCTAAGCCTGTTAGGAACAGCGGTGATGTAACAGGCCCATTATTAACTGGCTGTGAGGAACAATAAGCAAATCTAACAGAAAAAAAACTAATAATCCAAAGGGGAAAAGTTCATGTGGCCTAGGTACAACCATTCCCTTCAGTTCCCTTGGCTAAAGGAGCACTGCTTAAGGGTATCGTTGTAATTTCCTGTCTCGCTCTGTCCTGGGTTTTTTTTCTGTTTCAGCCTTTGTTTTGTCGTTTCTCTGTGCTACTTGCTTTTGTTTGTGTCTTCTGCCATGTTTCTTTTGTTTTCTCGTGCCATGTGCTTTTGTCATTGTTTTGGTCTCTGTCTCTTCCCTCGTCCTGCCCCCTTGTTATCTGCTCCACCTGCCTGTAGTCTGTAGCCCTGCCCTCTTATTAATCATAAGTGTTTCTTGTTTCCTCTCAGTGTATGTTTAGATACATACACAGATAGATGTGTTTGCTCAGTCCCTTTGTCCTGCATTGTTACGTTGCCCTCTGTTTTCCTCTGTTTTGTGTCATAATGCACGCATCCAGCCTCAACTTCTCCTACGTTACAGAAAACAAGATCAAACAGGGATGCAGCGAGTTTGCAAGAACTTGTTGAAAGAAATGAATCCAGGCTGCAAGAGGGATACCTGGTATTGCAACGGTTTAAGTCTGCGCTGCCGAGTGGACTGTTGGATGCTACCTTACAGACTGACTTCTGTGCCCTCCTTATTTTAAATGACCGTGCTCTAATCCCTCCAGAATCCGGCGAGGCTCATGCGGATGAAAGTGTAGCCTCTTCCCAGCACCGGAAATGCCATAGAAAGCACTGTGGTCGAGCACATCTCCCCACGGTAGAAGAGAAATTTCTGGACTTTCTTTATACAGCCTCTCTGGCGCCATCCAGTGCTCTGTAGAGCAGCAGTGGGCCTGTGCATGTCCTCACAGTGTCGCCCAGTGCTCTGGTGAGCACTAGTAAACAGCGGCCTGCCTCTGAGGATGTCACAGCATCTGTCTGCCTCCGAGGACATTGATGTGGCTCAGCCTGTGTCTGCTTTCAAAACAGATCCCTCGCAGTCTCAAGAGTTCCCTGACCAGCCGGCCTCTGTGTCTCCAGACCTTCCCATGGTCTCATTGTCTCCAGACCTGCCCGTGGCTTCCGAGTCTCCTGCCCTGCTCTTTGTCCCATCTCCTGTCCTATCCCACGTTCAGTCCACTGTCCAGTTTCATGCTCGTTCCCCTGTCCGGTCTCCAGTCTAGTCCTTTGTCCAGTCTTATGTCCAGTCTTTTGATGACTTTCCTGTCTGTTTCCCAGGTAAGTTCCCTGTCTAGCCCTTGTTTCCAGCCTCCCCTCTGAGCCAACTTCCTTAGTCTGTTTCATTCTGTGCCTCAGGAGCTGCGCTTTAGAGGCGGGGTCTTCTGTAACATCCTGTTTTGCTCTGTCTTTGTCTTTTTCTGTTTTATCCTTTGTTTTATTGTTTCTCTGTGCCACGTGTTTTTGTTTGTCTTCTGTCCTGTGCCTTTAGTTTTCTTGTGCCATGTGCTTTTGTTGTTTTTTGGTCAGTGTCTCCTCTCTAGTCCTGTCCCCTTGTCCCCCTCTGCTCCACCTGCCTGTAGTCTGTAGCCCTGCCCTCTCATTAATCCCAAGCATGTCCTGTTTCCTCTCAGTATATTCATAGCCCTGGGTTTGCTCAGTCATTTTGTCTTGCATTGCATATGTTACCCTATTGCTGTTGCCTGTTTTCACTGGTCTTATGGTTAGGATGCTACTCAGTTTCTGGAATCTGGTGTAAATAAAAGCAACCCCCTTGCATCCAGCCTCATCGTCTCTTATTTTTTTGCAGTGTACAAAAAATCATATGTTAGCAAGTGAAATCCTATTAAAGATTAAAGATGTTATCACTTGGCAAGATATAATTTTTCTGGTCAGGAGGCCTGTCGGATGATCATGGTGCTGGATTTCTGTGCTTTATTCTGTAGGAATAAAGAATAACGTGAACAACCGCCTCTGAGAAATATTAAGGTTTGTATGTGTGAAAATAGTGCATGTGAACAGATCACAAAACACGCGTCCAGCCATCATGTCAATGATTTAACTGTCTTATACGCTCACACTTTTGATTTATGATAGGTTTATTTGGTAATGTGGGTTTCCACACTGCTTGATCCAGATTTTGCACATCTTCTCTTGTATCTTCAGTTTAGGAAATGGGGGGAAATATGATTCCTTTCTTTAGACTCATATATATCAGATATCTGATATAGAACTGTACAAATTGAAAGTGTGTTCATGGGTCTAAGTCAGCGGTCGGCAACATGCGGCTCTTTCGCTGTCCTGTTGCAGCTCCACAGTAGAATTATATTTTTAGGTAAAAACAAAATAATCTTCCTTTGCAGTAAAATAAAGCCTTGCTGATCTTTTTTTAACACAGTTTTAACAATAAATGGTCTTAAATGCTGGAGTTAATGTCCACCTGCTAATTCACCCTTTATATTTATTGGCACGCAGACTGCTGGTCACATGGCAGTGCAGCCCACAATCTCGCCCTAGCTAATAGCTAAATAAAAAGGCAAAGAGAAAGATTTAAGACGAACATAAAAATTTGGAGACGAATGGACTTATTTGCATTTAGAATCACTCCAGCTGGTCTTGATACATTTAATCTGCAACGAGAAACTGTCAAACACTAAACAGTTGCGAAGCTAAAGTCAGTTTCTCCTTCGGCAGAACAAGAAGCTGGCAAATGAGAAGCTGACTTCAGCCTTGTAAAAATCAGCTGAAGTCAAAAACAGCTGAAAAAATATTTCTAGCATCACTTGTACAATTTTATACATCAAAAACCTTTTCTCCCTCACACTTTTCTCCACTACTCAATAAAAAAAAAACAATGTATGTAAGCATGTTACACCAGCATTATATATATATATATATATATATATATATATATATATATATATATATATATATATGTATGTATGTATACATGTATACACACATATATATATATATATATATATATATATATATATATATATATATATATACAGTCCTGCTCATCATTATTGGCACCCATGAAGTTTAAGTACATATTGTGGAATATCCCCTGAAAAAATTAATAAACTGAAACAGTTTTTTTGTATAGAGCACTCATATTTAAAACAAAAGAGCAAACTATAAACAACAATTTAAAACAAAAAACAATGTGAGGGAAAAACAGAAAAAACCTAAAGCTTGCTGTGACACTGGTATTGGCACCCTTTACATTAAATTAGTATGGAAACACATTTTCACTCACCTGTGGTAAATCACAAATGATAATCACCTGTGACAAATTCAGTGCCCATGTGATATGATTTAGCCAATGAATGATGACTTCAGGGTTTTAAAAAGCCATACGTTGGGCCATGTTCATTTGTTACAATGGTGAAGACAAAGGAGCTGTCTGAGGACATCAGAAGTGCTATTATTAGCAAACACAAGACTTCCAAAGGGTATAAGGCCATCTCCAAAGACCTTGGTATCCCAGTTTCAACAGTGCGCAATGTTATTAAGAAGTTTGCCAAGCATGGAAATGTCAAGAACCTCCCTGGACGTGGGGAAAAGAGGAAAATTGACAAGAGAAGTCTTCGAAGGTTGGTGCGAATGGTGGAAAAAACACCAAGGCAAACATCCAAAGAACCGAAGGCCAACCTGGAACAGTCTGGGGTCATGGTTTCAACAAGTACCATACGCCGCACACTAAACCATGCAGAGCTTTATGGGCGAAGGCCAAGGAAGAAACCATTGCTAAAGAAAAGACATAAAAAGGAACGACTGATCTTTGCCAAAGAGTACCTTGACAAACCACAATCATTCTGGGACAATGTTTTGTGGAGAGATGAAACAAAAATAGAGCTTTTTGGCAATGCAAAGCAACAGCTTGTTTACAGACGGCGCAATGAAGCTTATAAGGAAAAGAACACCCTACCAACAGTTAAGCATGGTGGAGGATCCATAATGCTGTGGGGTTGCTTTGCTGCGTCTGGTACTGGAGGCCTTGACCGTATCACAGGAATCATGAAATCAGAGAATTATCAAGAGATTTTAGAGCGAAATGTCCTACCCAGTGTAAGAAAACTTGGTTTGAGCCGAAGATCATGGGTATTCCAGCAAGACAATGACCCAAAGCACACATCCAAAAGTACACGGGAATGGTTTAAAAGGAAAAAATGGACTGTTTTAAAATGGCCAGCAATGAGTCCTGACCTCAATCCCATTGAAAATCTTTGGGGTGAGTTGAAATCTGCCATTGGGAAAAAGAATCCTGCAAACATTCAAGAGCTTGAACAAACTGCAAAGGAAGAGTGGGAAAAAATACCAGCTGAGAAGTGCAAGAAGCTTCTAGATGGCTACAAGAAACGTTTGGAGGCTGTCATCACAGCCAAAGGGTGTGCAACCAAATATTAACAAGGGGTGCCTTTATTGCTGCACATGCTGTTTATTCTGTTTCTTCTTTAAAATTGCAACATGCAAGTTGAAAAACAATGTTTTTTTTTGTTGTATTACTTTGGACCTCCAATTAAAAAATCCTGAAGATATAACTTTGGTACATTTACATTTATTTCTGAAGATATTGTACAGGTTATGCAAAAAAGGAAGGGGTGCCAATAATGGTGAGCAGGACTGTGTATATATATATATATATATATATATATAAAATGGTGTCATTTACAATCAAAAAGCATGTCTGCCAGGTGTTTAATCATTTTTAGGAAGAAAGCTTTGGAAGAGGAGACCTTAAAATTACATCTTTATGACACATCTATTTGGATAAACTGAGTGGTTTTAGTAAATTTATAATAATGATGTGTGCTTTATTGGGAGTTGGGAGGTTTTAGTAACATAATAATAATATTAGATACAAAGTGTACTTTTTAAAAGTGTAAGATTTGAGTAAGCCACAAACAGTAGGTGACTTTAAATCTAACTGAACTTTATTCAGATAAACCAGGTGGTTTTTTAGAAAATTCTAACGAGCATAAAGTGTGCTGTATTTTTCACCAGACCTTTTATTTTGACAGCTAGTTGTCCAATGTGAATTCATTGGCTCATCTGGGAGTTTTACGATAAAGACTCCGACACACAAACAGCGTATAGCATGTGCACAACAATGCACACATGTCAGTAACGTGTGCACAATTCCCTACTGGAGATATCGTGCACTGTTTGTAGAAGCCAAAGTTTCATAACGCACGTAGTGCACTACATAGGGGTAGGCATCCATTCGGGATTCAGCCAGTGAACGTGAGGTGAATCGCCCATAGAAGCCGCGTTTGTTTCATACAGGCACGTCAACGGCTCCGTCATCTTGGAGCGGTCATTACCATTTTGTACAACAACAGAGCGACGGTTTAAGAATGTGACGTCCACAATGAAACTACAATAAACATAGCACTAAGGAGGTCGGGTCGGCCAGAGACGTGATAAAGTAAGAGGTCAGTGTCTGAAAAATGAACGGGAAAGCTCGTAACACTCAACACAGCGTCTGCGGAGAAAGCCCCGCCTTTCGGGAATAACAGCCAATCAGCTCGATGGTTACGCCGCTGGATCTGCGCAATCGCAGTAGCCAGAACAACCCGAAAAAAATAAAAACAAAAATTCTGCGTTATTGAGCCAAACGTTACAAAGTATGTATGAGGATTTTTTTTTACGTTTTATCAGTGATTTCAAATATGTTTCTGAAATAGTAATTTGACCAATTTAGGTCTTTTCTCAAAGAGATAGGAGGCGGGGGGCCGTATTACAGAAACTTCTTATCTTTTTGTCTTCAGATAAGTCAAGATAAGATTTTTCACAAATTCGTATTACAGAATCTTATCTTGATTTAAGAATCTTATCTTACAGCATCTTTTCTTATCTCAAGTTAGGAAATCTTAATTTCATCGATGGAAGTCGACCATCAACTGTCATGTCTGTTGCCTAGCAACCGACCATATGCGAACAGCTGAAACATAAACACGTAGGTTAATGAAGTTGGTTGGTCAGACAGCTAACGTTAGCTACCCTTACTGATGTAAAGAAGCTACCCTTACTGATGTAAAAAAGAAGACAAACTGAAAGTTAAGAATATTGTGACTGGTGTTTTTCAGAGCCTCCTCATTTTTCACCACCATCACTGTAATATTATATCTGAAGAGGTTTTATCAAACCATAACAAACGAAGGTAATAAGAATGGCAGTGGAGATCGAGTCTGCAGCGTCTGGGGTTTTAAAACGCTGTTAGAAAAAAACCCTCACAAGTCAAAGCAGCGTTTTCAATGTAGATAAATGCACCGTCATTATTATAGTTATAGTGAACTGTGCTGCCCGTCACTGCACAAAACAATAGAAACAGACGGTTAAAACAGAAGTTAAGACAGCTCTGGTTTTGTCTTAAAGTTAGAACAGAGTTTACGAAATTTTGTCTGGTTAGGATGTGTCTGTAATACTGTTTTCTTATCTGGATAAGATTATGAACTTAGGAACTGTTGTTCTGTAATGGCTTCTGTCCTAAATTCAGTCCTAACTAAAGTTGTCATGGTGACTAAGCATATAAGATAAGATTTCAGACTTAAGAAGTTTCTGTAATATGGCCCCCGGTCTTGCATGGCTGGAAATAACTGCCCAGTGGCGTTGCAAAGATGGTCGCCTAGTGAGCAGAATTTCCTACGTGGACTTTGAGTAGGCTTATATAATAGGGAGAACGGAGCGATTAACATTTATGTTTGTGCTATAGTCATGTATAAAGATGCTGATGTGTTTGATCAAGAGAGCACCTACTGTTGTAATTTTTTCTATTCGTTTCATATGCCAGGCTTCCTGCTCTCATTTGTGAAACAGGGAAAAAAGCATGCTTGCAATCCGTGCAATTTAGCTCAATCTTTAATTTATTAGCACTCCCTACATACATATAATCGTCTCCTTGGCACTGTCAGATTGAACTCTGGACTTAAAATTGACTGTTTTTGCATTACTGACAGAGAGAAAACATGTCACTTTTATTTAGATCATAAACATGTTTTATATTTCCTCACGGACCGCGCCTCCACCTATAAACATCAGATAAATACACAAATGTCTGAATATCACTTCTCTAGGTCACGTCTCTCAACTTCCTTATTTAAATTCTAACAGTATGGCCAGCTGTTGGAAACTGAAGCATTTTACAAATATAACACCATCTAATCATCAACATGCAGAACTGTCTGACCATTATAACAAAACAAATTAGGTGAAAATTCGTTGAGTATTAACCAAATTACTGGCGATTTAATAAAGCAAACCCATCATATCTCCATACACGTGGATTTGTTTACAAGCGAATCTTGACTGCCCCAATACGACAGATGCCAAAATGCATCGTCAGAGAATGTGTAGAGAGGAATCAAACGCTAGAGGGCGATAATATGGAGCATTTGAGCAAAATCATAGTTTGTAAATGCTTAAACATTTTCTATATAGAAGAATGCACCGAACACAGTACAGCACAAAACATTTTAACACTGCCTTTATATTTCTGAGCGCTTTTTAACTCCAGTTATAGCAGGGTTTCAAAACCTGTGGGCTGCGGACCACCAGTGGGCTGTGAAGCACCCTCTAGTGGTCTGCAGGCCTGTACTCAGGAGGAGGCGGTATTTTGTAGTGGGCTGGTTACAGCAAATTAAGTCATAAATACATAAGTAGAAAAAAGATGAACTTACACCTAAATATTAAAATTCAAGGAATCAAACCTTTCCAAATTATGACTAATATAAATATTAACAGAGACGTACAAATAAATCACATCTACATCTGCATCAGGGGGCCTTTTATCACCTCTGCAAACATGTTTTTTTAACCTGTAAAGTTTTTAACATAACTGCAAATTTTGGTTTCTGTGATTGAACTGAAATAGACAATCTGATCTTTTTCAGGCCCTCATTCACAGGTTTTCAGTGTGAGCAAACTAAAAAAAAAACTATTAAAAACATTGATTTTAATTTTTCTGTGAGCTGCTTATAGTTATAAACAGGTGGGCTTTGGGGTGGAAAGGGTTGAGAACTTTAAACTGCTGCATCATGTTCACTCAGCAGCGTCTTTGTTTGTATATATCTGTGGTGAAAAGGGACAGACACTAGACTATAAAAACACTCTAACAGCTTAGATGGAGCTGGTGCACTAAAGAAACCACCTTTATACTAAAATCAAGCAGAGCGCAGAACTAGAACAGATACCATGCTGGACACTTTCATTCTTGCCTGGATTCTCATCTTTCTCCTCTTCCTCTTCGTCAGGATCCAGAGACCCAAGAACTTTCCTCCTGGACCCCGGCCTGTGCCCCTATTCGGGAATCTATTTGAGCTGAACATCACCAATCCACTGAAAGACTTTGAGAGGGTAGAGTACTGTGCTTTTTTTAATGCTGACCTAATCAACACAAACATTTTTAGAACTCCTATGTAGACATGATGCTCACAAAAATGAAATGAAAGACCAACTTGCATATTTTAATTAAAATTTTCTTTATTTATAATTTCTCTTAATTTACATGCTTTAAATTTCTGCTGGATACAACTGGTAAAAATGCATCTAATAACAGTGAAATTTACCTTAAATTTACTCTAAACAAAAATAGCTTTACAGAAATATGATTGTGGTTTATATGTTTATATGTGATATGCAAATGCAAATCTCTGAAGTGTGGAAACCAGTTCTGTTGATATGTTAAGCATCAGTGTACACCCCGTTTAATTCTGCAAATAGGTGGTATTAGTTTTTACTGGGTCAGAGTTTCTGTTTACTCATCTAAAATATGGTTACTTTATTTTTGAGGTTTTTTGTCTAAGCACACTTTTTTTATGATGAACTGTTTACTTTTTCTGCTTGCTGTATTGTATGTCTTTAGTTGGCTGAGCGCTATGGGAACGTTTACAGTCTCTACTTTGGAAGAACACCAGCCGTGTTTCTTACTGGTTTCAAGGCTGTGAAGGAAGCTCTGGTGACCAAGGCTTTAGACTTTTCAGGACGTCCACAAAACATCATAATGAGCCATCTAACGCAAGGAAATGGTGAAGTCCATAAATTATTTGAGTCATCAGACTGAGATCAAAGTCCTGTGTACAGACTGTGGCTAATCAATATTTCTTTTATGCTGATATCATGGTGTCTTTTACTCTAGGTAAAAGTTAAAAAGACCAAAGCTTTCTCACTTTGAAATGAGTTACTGATGTCAGTTTAATGTGTCAGGGGTTGTATTTCTCAACTATGGTCCTGCCTGGAGGGAGCATCGGCGCTTTTCCCTCATGACCCTGAGGAACTTTGGCATGGGGAAGCGGTCTATGGAGGACAGGATTCTGGGAGAGATCGAACACCTTACTGCACGTTTGGAGAAAAGTGCTGGTATTATTATTATTATTATGCTATATTATACTTCAGGAACAAAAAGCAAAACCATGAAGTTTTTTTGCAATTACATCACAGATTAATTTATGAATTTGCATTGTCTTTGTATAGGAGGCTGCATCAACCCTCAGACTTTGTTTCATGAAGTGGCATCGAATGTCATCTACCAGGTTTTATATAGCACTCGCTATGACTATCATGACAAAACCCTACAGGAGTATGTCAACTACTTCACTAAAATTACGAAGATTGCAGGAGGACCCTGGGGAATGGTGGGACATTTTATCATTAACACAAACGTAGATGTTTCTCGCTTCAGACTTTGGAGCAACTTTGATGTAAACCTGACAGAAATAATGTTATAACAAATATACACTGATCAACATTATGACCACCTCCTTGTTTATACGCTTACTGTCCGTTTTATCGGCTCCACTTACTATATAGGTGCACTTTGTAGTTCTACAATTACAGACTGTAGTCCATCTGTTTCTATGCATACTTTGTTAGCCCCCTTTTACCCTGTTCTTCAGTGGTCAGGACCCCCATGGACCCTAACAGAACAGGTACTGTTTGGGTGGTGGATCATTCTCAGCACTGCAGTAATGCTCATGTGGTGGTGGTGTGTTAGTGTGTGTTGTGCTGGCACGAGTGCTTACCACTGAAGAACAGGGTAAAAGGGGGCTAACAAAGTATGCAGAGAAACAGATGGACTACAGTCTGTAATTGTAGAACTACAAAGTGCACATATAGTAAGTGGAGCTGATAAAATGGACACTGAGCATAGAAACTAGGAGGTGATCATATTGTTATGCCTGATAGGTGTGTGTCTTTATATATATATATATATATATATATATATATAGAGAGAGAGAGAGAGAGAGAGAGAGAGTAAAGATAATACAGTCAGCTACATAATTATTGGTAAATGGTCAAGAAAAAATGTCTTTGTGGTCAATTACCTGAATCTCACACTGAAAATATGAGAGAAGTCTAATCCTAAATTGAAGTAAATTTAAGAAAACAAACCCAAGAAAGTTTTTTTTAAAACAATACTACGTCACAATTACTGATAGACCTAAATATTCTTACAAAATAAAATGTAACAGAAGATTTTTTTTATTTATATTTCACTTTTTAAGTTCACCTGAGTGCTCAGGGAATCTTTAGGGCTCATCTATGACTTCCGGTTTACTGAATTGAAGATATGAGGTGACACAGTGGCCACCTTCCCTTAGTCATTCATCAACATGGGGAAGACTACAGACTGCAAAAATCTAATGAGTGTTGACCTTCATCAATCCAGCAGTGGTTAATAAAAAATATATGCCTGACAATGCCCATATCCACCTGCCTGGAAGATGGTAGCATTCCACACAAAAAGGGTTTAATGACCACAAAACTGAGCTTTGGCTATGGCCATCTCAGCCCCCCAAACTAAACCCCTTTGAAAACCTGAGGGGTAAGCAGAAGAAGAGAGTCTAAACTAGAGGACCAAGAACTCTGGAGGATCTGGAGAGATCCTGTACTGAGGAGCAGTCTAAGACTGCTTGTTTGTAATCTCATTGAGCATTACAGGAGAAGATTTATTACTGTTATGTTGGAAAAGTGAGGTAGCACAAAATACTAAATGCGGGGGTGTTAATAATTGTGACGAGGTCTTTTTAAAGTATATATTTTTAGAGTTCAAGGTTTTTATTTTCTTAGTCTAAATTTACTTATTTTCTAATTTTATTTAGTTTGACATTGAGCTAATTATCCACAAAGACCATTTTTCATGACATTTTTACTCATCCTTAGTAAAGGAGGCCAGAAAATTATGGAACTAACTATATATCCTGTACTAACAGCATATTACAATAACTTTGGAAAAAATGTATTTTAATTGTATGACACTTAAAATGTGTTTTCCCCTCCCGCAGATATATGATGCTCTTCCTATTGTGAGAGCCCTGCCTCTTCCCTTTAAGAAAGCCTTCACATATTTTGAGGAAATCAAAAAAATGATAGCAAGCAGGGTCAGCAAACACAAGACATCCAGAGTCCCAGGAGAGCCAGAAAACTTTGTCGACTGCTATCTGGACGTACTTGATAAGGTGTGTGCGTTGTGACGTTCTGTAGTTTGCCCAATAATGTACTGTATTCATACCAGTATGACACTTTAAATGTGTTGTACATTTTTATACAGCTTCTCGGGTTGAATTCTGGGAAAACATTTACACTACAGGTGGATTATACTGTATCAAGCCTGTTATGGCTACTGTAACATTATTGTATCAATATTGTAATAATACACCAAAACACGATATCATGAGCTTTAGTGAGAAACTAGGCTCCAAAAGGTTTTTTGTCTGAAGCAGCATTGAGTCATTGTCTCCACTTTAATTTAATTTTGTTTTACAGTTTTACATCATTTAAATGTTAAAACTCCTTGCTGAGCTCCATTCATACACTATATAGCCAAAAATATATGGACTCCTTACCATCACACCTATATGAAATTGTTGGACATCCCATTACAAAGTGATTAGCATTTAAATGGCTATAACAGGCTCCACTCATCTGGGAAGGCTTTCCACAAGATTTTGGAGTGTGTCCATGGGAACTTGTTCCAATTTAGTCAAAAGAGCATTTGTAAGGTCAGGCACTGATGTTGGACATGGTGGCCTGGCTCATAATAGATGTTCACATTCATCCCAGAGGTGTTCAGTGAGGTTGAGGTCAGGGCTCTGCGCAGGCCACTGGGGTTCCTCCAGACTAAACTTGTCAAACCATGTCTTTATGGAACTCAATTTGTGCACTGGGGCACAGTCAGGCTGGAGAAAGGGGCCTCCCTAAACTGTTTCCACAAAGTTGGAAGTATATAATTGTCTAAAATGTCTTTGTACTCTGTAGTATTAACGTAGATTTAAGGGGTCCAAACCCTGAAAAACAGCCTCAGACCATTATCGCTACTCCACCGATCTTTACTGTTGGCACTATGCGTTTTTACTGCTCCAGTGTCCAGTGGCAGCTCAACTCAATAATTAGGAGGGCTGTCCATATTTTCATCCATATAATGTGTCTGTGAACCAAGATAAATACAACAAATGGTAAAATTAGTTCATGCTAACTCCTGCTAGCTATCTAATAGCATGCTGGTTTACCTAGCACAACTTGCAGTGACATAAAATACAGAATAGAATATTCAAGTGATTTTTTGTTTTATATTTTGTCATATTATATAGAATAATTTCATATAGAAACTTTGTAAGTATTTTTCTTTCTCAGTGCCTGATTACCACGGCTAGGGTAATGCTAATTTAAGCTAGGCCTGCCCAGGGATTCTGTCTCTGTGGGATTAGCAGCGCCATGCTAATGGCGAGCTAACGTTTATACGCTTTCCCACATTGAGTTAAGTGCTATAAAACTCTAGCTTAAAAGTTGACTCTTGGAGACATGAACATAACATATTTTTACTTTGTCTATTGCAGTTTTAAGTAAAGCCTTTAAATATTTCATCTTAGCCTGAGGAGCCTGTTAACCTGTTAGCATTTAAAGAAAAGCTATTTGTATTTTTGAAATGAAAGTTTTGATTACTTTCTTAGGGTTTATGACTCTTTGAATGTTTTTAATGCAGTTTAATTGGACATTTTAAACTGCTGTTTTAACTCTTTCATTTCTTATGTGTGTGCTGTACATGTTCAGAAAAAAGGCTATTGTTCATTACAGTAACATACTGCTAAATTTCAGAAGTACAGTACAATAATTCATCACTGTCAACAACATTTACAGGTTTTTGCTACAGTATGAGTGCTGTAAATATCAGTTAAACTAACTACCTGGCAACTCCACTGTCAGTAAGTTACCCTAAATTTACAGTGTATTTCTTTACAGTGTGCGTGAATGTGAAGAATATGTTTCTGTTTTTATTGAAGTGAACTTCTGCAAAGAATTTTTCCAACATGGTGTATCGTATATTTTCTAATATGCACATAAGTGTAGGCCACTTTATCTGATGATGCTTTCTGCTCAACAGGGAGCAAATGGGGGAACCTACTTTAATGATGCAGATCTTGTGAGAACCATCATGGACCTGCATGGTGGTGGGACAGAAACCACCTCCAACACCCTCCTAACAGCGTTCCTCTACCTCATGACCAAACCAGACATTCAGGGTTTGACTCATGCATTGGCCTCTGCACTTCAACATAAACCTAATAGTGAATACTAGATCTTACAGGGACAGTACTGGTCTTATATGCCTTTTCTTTTGACTTTCTAGAGAGATGTCAGAAGGAGATTGATGAGATTCTGGAGGGTAAAGCTCATGTATCTTTTGAGGACAGACACAAGATGCCGTACACACATGCTGTGATCCACGAGTGTCAGCGCGTCGCCAGCACCTTCCCTCTCAGTGTACAGCACTGCACCACAAGAGATACTGAACTGATGGGTTACAGCATCCCAAAGGTGAAAATTTACTTTTTTATATAATTTGAACCACATACCTTTCTTTATTCTAAGTTTTTTATTTTTTTGCATTTTTTGTCTTTCTTTGTGATCCAGGGTACTCTAATCATCCCGAACCTCTACTCAGTGCTGAGTGAAGAAGGCCAGTGGAAGTTTCCTCATGAGTTCAATCCAGCTAACTTCCTGAATGAGCAGGGACAGTTCGAGAAGCCTGAGGCCTTCCTGCCCTTTTCCATTGGTTAGAGTTCTGAACAGTGTAAATGAACATAATGAATAAATCCTGGTTCTCCATCGTAGGTTAAGCTTTTACAGAAACTAATTTGGGACAGTATGTAAAATGCAAATAAAAACAGAAAGCAGTAATTTTTGTCTTTTACAGGTATTATTTGCAAACAGCACAAAAAAGAGATATTTAATTTATCTGAACTTTTAATTAACCTTATCAACTTTGATTTTTGTAAATATACACTAATTCCAAATTTGATGCCTTCAACACACCCCCAAAAATTGGAATGGGGCAGTGTAAGACTGGGAAGTTTGTGATATGATCAGACACACCCATTTTGGAGCTTTCCACAGGAAAACAGGGCTGCGTTCAGCCATGATAAAATGTAGCAAAGCGTTTTTTTAATGGAAATGGTGGTGCATTGAACACTCTGTTGTATTATGTAAGCATTGCAAATATGGCAGCTGAGAAGGCCATTCTTTGCACCCTTCTAGCGTGTTCTGTTAAAAAAAAACCTTACACTAATATACACACAACAAATATCTCTTCTTATGTCTTCAGTTGTTGCATACACCAAGCTGCAGCGGCTGCATTTGTAGACTTTATTAGAATCCATGGTGTGCACTGGCTTTTTAATACAGTGGGGTTTATATGCATGTCGCTGCTGATTGGGTAAAACCTCTGACACACCCATCTAATGAGAGAAAACATAACTTAAAGCCCGTTGCACACCATTTCGACGATACATGTTGTTCAACCTGGAAACCGTAGTAAAATGGTGCACAACGTTTTGAGATTGAATGTGCCCCAGCTGAAGAGGTAACAGGTTTTGTTATCATGGGTGTAAAAGAATGTTTACACAAAAGGCTCGGTCGCCCCTTCACAAAAAATTCTACAATCTACAGTCCATGACATTATTGAAAGATTCAGAGAATCTGGAAGAATGTCTGTATCTAAAGGCCAAAAAACTCTTGTCAGTAAACACAGTTCGTCACTGCATCTATAAGTGCAAGTTAAGACTCCACTACGCAGAGCTGAAGCCATACATCAACAACATAAACATGTCAGCTTCTCTGGGTGGAAACGTGTGCTATGGGATGCTGGTCCTCCTTTCATATTGTTTTTGGAAATAATGGCTTGTGTTTTCCACGCCAGAAAGAAAAATAATCACAACTGTTACCAATTCAAAGTTGAAAAGCCAGCGCCTGTCATGGTATGGGGGTGTGTTAGTTGGTAACTTTAACATCTGTGAAGGCACCGATGTTAATGCTGAGGGGTACATATGCATTTTGGGGTAACATTTGCTGCCATCTAGATGACATCTTTTTCAGGGACGTGCTTGTTTCAGCAAGACTATGCCAAGCCACATTCTGCATGTGTTACAACAGTGTGGCTTCGTATTAAAAGAGTGCAGGTGCTAGACTGGCCTGCCTGCTGTCCAGACCTGTTTCCCATTGAAAATGGTGTATTATGAAGGGCAGTATACAACAAAGGAGACCCCGGACTGTCGAGTACATGTTGTCCTTTGTTCCCAAATGATTGCTGAACGTTATTAAAAGGAAAGGTGATGTAACATGGTGGTAAACATGCTCAACAAGATCACATTTTGAGTAAGCGTATATGTACAAAAAACATTGAAGTTCATGAGTTAAAACATTAAATAACTTGTCTAAATATCTTGCACTAATTTTAATTGACTGCATTTTCCTACTGTCCCAACTTTGGAATTGGATTATTAAATTCTATACTTTAGTCTGGGATAAGCTTTTAAACCAACTCTATAACCCGACAAAGAACGTTGTGTGTTGTACATGTCCGCAGGGCCTCGTGTGTGTCTTGGTGAAGGTCTGGCTCGCATGGAGCTCTTCCTCATCTTGGTCACTCTGCTGCGCCGGTTCTACTTCTTCTGGCCTCAAGATGCAGGAGAACCAGACTTCACTCCTGTATTTGGAGTCACACTCACACCCAAACCGTATAGGATGGGACTTAGACTGAGATAAGTAGCCAGAGAAACGTAGAAACTGAAGAAGTATTAACTATTTCATTCTCAAATAGAGCTGAATCTAATTTAACACACTGTAATACACAAGAATCAAGAGGAATGTAGGACAGGGTGCCATGAATTTGTGTAATGACAATTTGAAAATTATAGTGGAATAGAAAATGCAGATTTTCAATATGAATGAAGGTCAGATTAGATTGTAAACATCAAATGAATAATAACAATAATCAAATAAAAATCCATGCATTTTAATATTAGGAAAAATACTTTGTAGCTATGTATGAAAACCACTTCACTATTAGTTTAAAATCAACTTGCATTGTAACTCTAACTTTACCACACCATTAAGGAACTTCATTCAGTGATTTACATGCTGTTATCAAATAAAGTTTTATCTTTGATCCACTTCTGTTTTCTTCGACCATACATGACCATTCAGCACTGTAATTCTCAAAGCTTTTGCAACTGTAGTTTGAGGTTTGTGACCCCACAAATGTAGGTGGATATTCTGCGTGCATCTGACAGCTGTTTTGTAACTCAGTCATTCTGAATGAAGCACTATACATCTACTTTTTTGTACACTTTGTGGCACAGTTAGCTAGTAATTATGTAATGCTGGTACACATAAAAAGTAGCAAATTTAGCTGCTTGGCTAAATGCTGCTACAGACAGTTAGTTTATGGGAAGCTATTTTAGCTTGGCCATCACCAATTCAGTTAGAAGAAGTAAAAATGTTATTAGTAGTAATAAAAACATAAAATTTGACACATTAAATTCTCACATATTACAAATGAACTTTTATTAGCAGGGATCATATTTTGCATGTAAGATGTTAGTTGTCAGTGGTAAGAATAAGTTTTTTTTTTTACTAATATGAATTAAAATTGAACAGAAATATTGAAATTCTATTTATTGCATTTTTAAATTGATTTCTTGAAAGTTTGTTATATGTTAATGTTAAACATTATAGTCTTACATGTAATTATTGTATTTGCACAATAAAGTAACAATTTAGTATTAAAGAGTAAGAAATCAGTACGTATCCTGCAATAATTACAATACAATTTCAACATGTGAAAATGCTTTTTTTTAATTATGAAAATTGAACTATCAAATATTAAAATTAATTCATACGGATAAAACTTGCTCTTCACATGACACCCCTGGTCAAAGTGAAAATAAGATAAAGATTTTCTAAGTGAAAATAAGTTAACGACTTCTCTAGAGAGAAGACACTTCTGCATGCTTTAATGCACAATTTCTATTTATTGAATTTAACATACTGGGGGAAAAATCATAAAATGTGGCCTGGCCAAAGATTATGGCACATTTTATAGGTCAAAATGCCATATTTAAGTGTGTTCTCTGTAGAGGATGTGTTAACTTATTTTCACTTAGAAAATCAACAAAATATCATTTGACCAGGCTGTTCAAACCTTTGCATATGACTATATTAAAGTAGGGGAATCTTATTCTGCTGTGACACACCTGCTTCTGCTGGCTGACTAATTATCAACACTACATGAATAAAAAATGATTTTTTTTTCTAAAGCAGTTTTTAAAAGCCTGTGTTTTGGGGGAAATTATATTTTAAGAGCTTTTGAACTCGAGTTATAGGAGTTTAAAACGGTGCCTCGTGTACGTTCATGATGTCAGTGACTGCAAACAGCCAATAAGCTGCTCTGCTCGCCAACCAATCAGCACTCAGTAGCAGTAATGCCAGCATGCTGCTGCCCAAAACCCATTTTCTGTAGAAAAAAATGAAAGATACAGATTTTTCTTAGTATTGTAGTGAAATACATCCTTTTACTTTCTAAAACTAAAGGAAAGTTCTGGGCGAGTGATTAGAAACTGTTTTAACTTTTCGTTTTTAACCATTTAGCTTCATTCACCCTCATTCATTGAGGACTCGCTCGCGGGCGCCCTCTGGCGTTATGTTTCGGATATAACGGGGAAATAGGAAGAAGCCAGGCTCTTCATAAACCGGCTCTGGTAGTCGTTGCAGGATAAAGTCGCTTACAATAAAGCAACGACAATAACAGCAATGGCGAGTAGAGCGTGTACAGATTACTCAAGCATTTTTGAAGCAAAAACAACCTCATCTCAGTTTCAGTGGTTTGTCAGCTGATGATTTGAAGTTAACAAAGGAATAAACTTTGGCCCAATCCCATTTCACCCCTCACCCCTGCCACTTAGCCCTTATCCCTCCATTTTGCGCATTCACGTCTAGGGGTAGGGTGTCCCAATTTTTGTCAAGATAGAGAGGTAGGGTGAAGTGTTTGGGCTACATCGCCCTTCAAATGGAGAGTTTTCAGAGAGTCGTTCCAAACGGAGTGTTATGAGAAAAAAAAAGAAAAAACGGCAAGGTGGCTGCACGAGCGACCAAAGAAACCCACAAATGTGAGAATTTTCTCCGTTAAAAATTAGGATAACCATTGTATTATCTCGGTTTAATGTCGTTTTGTATTGTGTATTATGGTCGTTTTCTTCATAACAAGCATAAAAAATCGCTAACAGCATGCTAATGTTTAGGTAGCTAGCTAGCTAGCTAACTTTCCCAGTCCACCTTAAATAGTCCAGCAGTGTTGACGCCTGAAGCGCCAGAACGTAACTGCTGCACCATTTAAGGTGGAACGGAAAAATTCAAAAAATGAGCTGGTGAATATCTGACTTCATATCACTGAAGAATTAGCGGTGGGCGATAAATAATTGTCGTATCCCCCCTCTTTGAAGGCTATGATGCCCTAAATGTAACTAAAGCCCAGCAGTGAGGAGCTGAACTTTACCCTCCTCTGCTCTCCCTGAAGACGGGCTGGGTCGCCTACAGAGCAGCGCTAGTAGCTGATAATGAAGCAATGTTTTTTTTTATTTATTATTTGTCCCATTTCGTAGGGCAAGCTTTCAACCACTACCCACTGTAACTCGAGTTTGACACTCGAAAACAAGGGGTAGAGGTAAAAAGAAGAAATGGGATTGAGCCATAGTCATGCGGAGGAAAAGACCCTCTGTGTCATTGTTTCACCGCTGCTGACTAACGTCAGCGTAAACGTGCAGTTCGCGTTTCAGTGTTGCTGCCACAGCTGCTTTCGGAAAAACAGTTTTCTTTTTCTCCCTCAAAACCTCCGGCATCTGAGAAAGCGAGCGCTCAGCGGGTAGATGTTCGTTCACTGGAGCCGGTGTTTGTGTAAAATGACCGCAATGACCCGGCACGGCCCCCTGCCGGCATGTTATGTAATACATATTAGAACACAGCGCCACACTGAAAGAAGAGCTTCAGCTCTAGTTAAGACTGAAAGAACTCAGCATTTCAAAGGTAAACAGTTACTGTAACACCATTACAATGACCTTTTCTTGAGTTCATATTTGAGTGTCTGTTTCTCCTTAATCAACACTGTCATATGTTCTTCAAGTTCATTTTCAGGGGCTCTCCACAATTTTGATATTGAGTCTTCGGGGCATCCAAAAGGCTAATTAGGGCCACATTTTGCATCCTAGTTACAGCTACAAGATCTTTAAGGGGAAAAAAAAACAAAATCATTCAGCCTTGTGCAGTCATATTTGAGATTTGTGAATTTACATGTGTAGGAAGACTGTTCCATGATGCTGCATCAAATATCATCTATCTGGTTTTATTTGGCATTTGGTTTGACTACGGAGATGAAACCCTTACACACTATGTTAGCCACATAGTGGACCCTGGGAATTATTGGGACACAGCATTATTAACAGTTACACCGATCAGGCATAACATTATGACCACATGATCCTTGTTTCTACGCTCATTGTCCATTTTATCAGCTCCACTTACTATATAGGTGCACTTTGTAGTTCTACAGTTACAGACTGTAGTCCATCTGTTTCTCTGCATACTTTGCTAGCCCCCTTTTACCCTGTTCTTCAGTGGTCAGGACCCCCATGAACCCTCACAAAGCAAGTACTCTTTGGGTGGTGGATCATTCTCAGTGCTGCAGTAACACTGACGTGGTGGTGGTGTGTTAGTGTGTGTTGCGCTGGTCTGAGTGGATCAGACACAGCAGTGCTGCTGGAGTTTTTAAACACCTCAGTGTCACTGCTGGACTGAGAATAGTCCACCAACCAAAAATATCCAGCCAACAGCGTCCTGTGACCACTGATCAAGGACTAGAGGATGACCAACACAAACTGTGCAGCAGCAGATGAGCTATCGTGTCTGACTTTACATCTACAAGGTGGACTGACAAGGTAGGAGTGTCTAATAGAGTGGACAGTGAGTGGCCAGAGTGTTTAAAAACTCCAGCAGCACTGCTGTGTCTGATCCACTCATACCAGCACAACACACACTAACACACCACCACCACATCAGTGGTCATAATGTTATGCCTGATCTGTGTATATTATTAATATAACTGTTTCTCACTTCAGATTTCAGAATCATTTATATGATATGAATGATTATACTGGCGAATTAATCTTGGCGAACAAATTTATTGCAGGTCACGGTTGTAATTGCAGATTAAGGTTTTAATCGTAGATTTGTTAGTTCTTGTTTAAAATTAAGTGGTGCGGCACATCTTGATTTAAAATAAAACCTAGATTAACAATTTCTTGATTAGCTCTAAACTGTTTAATCCTTGTTGGTGTAACCCGCCCTACATGTGTCAAATGATCTTGTACCACTTTACTGACATTTAGTCTGTATTATGTTTAACTTCAAATATGGCAGATCGCAAAAAACACTGGAGATGAGTAGCTATTGAATTGAGAGAGCTTATAGAATCAAGCACATCAGAGGATGAGGGAGAAAAAGCAATAAGTCAGAGCTCAGTTAGTGAGGGGAATGTTTTCTTTGACTTCTTCCCTGTTTCGTCTGAGTCCGATGAGCAAGCTGCAAGTTTAGATTGTTCTGAAGACATTGGTGATGAGCCTCCATGTGACCTTGAGCATGACCTCACCAAATGGGCAACAAATCATCATGTTACAAGGAGCTGTTTTAATGACCTACTTGGCGTATTAGGAAATCATGGACAAAATCTACTGAAAGATTGTAGAACACTACTTAAAACTCCTCGGACAGTGGAGGCTCAAGAAAATGTGGTGGGAAGTACATTTATTTTGGGATAGAAAAAAAATCTCCAAATAGCACCTAACAAATTACCTACTGATCAAGGCACAATAAACAGATTGGCTTTCAAGATTGATCATTCCATTGTTCAAACCTAGCAATTCTCAGTTATGGCCATTATTGTGTTCTGTGTGTTTTCCCCATAAAAAAATTACGATAACCACTGTATTATCTTAGTTTAATGTCGTTTCAATGTATTATGATCGTTTTCTTCGTAACAAGCATAAAAAAACGCTAATAGCTAGCTAACTTTCCCATTCCACCTTAAATAGTCCAGCAGTTCTGACACCTGAAGCGCCAGAAT